TTGTCCAACTGTACTTGAACAGTCTGAGAGAAATCAGACATATTAAAGCAACCCATTTCTGGGATCTGTTCACTGGATATGTAACCTTTTATGTCTGTCTTCTGTCACCATAATGTTTTCAAGATACATCCATTTTGTAGCATGTATGGTACTTCATATCCATTGTATGGATAATATTGCATGATAGAAATATGAATAATATTCCATTGTTTGGTTATTGAGAATAGTGCTGCTATGAATATTTTTGCACAATTTTTGTTTTGAGTTCCTGTTTTCAATTATTTTGGGTACCTGAGAGTGGAATTTTGGGGTCTATGGTAATTCTATATTTAACTTTTTGAGGAGCTTCCAAAGTTGTTCCATGGCACTTGCACCATTGTGCATTCTTACCAGCAGAGTACAAGAGTTCCAGTTTCTCCACGTCCTTGTCAGCACTTCTTGTGGGTGTGAAGTGGTATCTCATCGTAGTTTTGATTTGCTTTTCTCTGTTGAGTACCACATCATGTGCTTTTGGGCCATTTTTATATCCTTAACCTTCATTTTAAAGAAGCTGAATTACTAAATTTTCACCAATATCACAGCATTTATTTTCATCTTATTCCTAGAACATATGCTTTGGGGACCAAGGAAAACTAATGAAGTGATGTATCCATTCTCAAACTAGTTTATATTTCTAGAGATAAGATAAGCAAGCCTATATAGCCATAAAGTTTTGATTTTTACATTATATAAAGCTGTTACTATTATTCTATTTTCCTAACATAAAGAAAATTGTGTGTTCTATTAGAAGGAAAAAGAATCCAGTCATTGTAGTGAACTGTTCCTCTTCTCCCAGTTCCAAATTATAAAGAAGTTATGGAGAAAGACTATAATGAAGCTTCTAATACCATGAGTTGCTTGGGCCCCTTTCAGTGCCAGAGGTTTTGAAATGTCCCTAAAGCAAACTGGCATAGTATACAAAAGTTCACCCTCATTTGGACATCTTTTGATTTGTTCCCTTGACATTTCTATACGTTCCATTGCTGGTAATAAGATGTCTGCAAGGAATCTCCAGTGCCCTATTGCTTGTAGAAATAGCACTGGTCAGGAGACTTCAGAAATACCTACACCCAATATTTGACATATCCTTAAAAGTTCACAGAGCAAGTGACTTATTAATATGCACATTATTCTAAAGCTCACTGGCCTAAGCTATAGTTTTTTTTAATCCAAATGCATTCTATATTGAACTTTCATTGTAAATTGCACACATAGTAGAGATGCAAAGTAAGAAGGGGAGAGTAGTTTGACTAATGATTTTGTTGATTGTTAGCTTTTTAAAAGTTCACTACTACCATCCTCTCAAGATAGTTCACTTGTCACCACAAATCACCCTGCCTGCCACTCAGCTAGCAAACAGTCATTGTATGTCATTAACAGTAAGAATGGCTGAATTCGTTGTGCACTGACTTTATATGTCTGATATTTGTAATGTTTTTTACAACAGATAGCTAATCTTCGTAACAAACCAGCAAGGTAGATATATAGTACATAGTACCAATATTTTTTAAGTGAAATAAAATAAAGGAAAATAGAAACATCAGAGTCCATCATATCTAGTAAGAATTAGGTATTCTTTTTATGAAATTTACTTTCAATTGTACATTTATGTATGTGTGTATTGGGTTGAATACACTTGAATTTCATGGTAATATAGTGAGTCCATAGATTTGGTTTATGTCAGCCTACTGATAATGAGAACCTTTGGGTATTTCACTAATCAATAATACACGCAGGCACATAAGACCATCTTAGGCTGAATTTTGTCTTCTACACACCAATGATGCTTGAGGTTTGTTGAGCACAGCACCGTGCACCAGTTACCAGTCCCAGGGCAGGACTGGACACTTCTGCCCTCTGCATCTTGGTAGCGGAGTCACCAAGGAGAACACAAGCACTGGCTGCAACAATGCTTTCCCTACATAGAGAGGAGAGAGAGCAAGATCAGCTTCAATGCTGGGTGTGGTTCCCCCATTGCCGGCACAGGACAGTCTGCCTGTGCATGCCCCACTGTGGCACAGGAGAAAGAGCCCTGTCCTTTCCTGGCAGAGAACAGAACAGTAGGGTTGGCCATACGATGTGCATGCTTGAAGCAGAGACAAAGAAGCATTCATTGAGCCTGAAAGAAGGAAAGATATTCCCAGCACAAGGTGGTAAGCCCGGCACAGGCTGTATGGACTCTTTATCTCTTGGTAAAAAGTATTCCAGGCCCAAGGCCCATCCTTATGCAGCTGACTAAGGGTTGTAAGACTGTGCCACACATGAGACTGCCTTTCCCAACAAGGTTTATGGTCCTAAATAAAATCAAATAATGTCACTTTAATTTCTTTGTCATCAAAATTTTCAGTAAGGTGAATTAATTTTATGTTTGCTGAAGCTCCGATACTAGGTACTGTTTAAAGTGTTTTTCATTAAGAGCTAAAAGCCTGTTGTTTAAAATATGTGCTCTTCATTTGCTGTTTCATACTTTTTTATTGTGATTTAGTTTTACAAAATTATGTTTAGATCTCATACATGTATATAATTTTCATTCTGGGGAGAATCTGGTTCTTAAAGGCCTGTGTTTTGGGGACTGGAAACTCATTCATGGAAGAACACATTGCAGGTCCCCTCAGTTTCTGAAAGAAAGAAGTTTCTTCACATTCAGAAGGAGTTCTAAACCTTCAAAATCATAAAAAGAAGCAATAAAAAAACCTGGCCTCAGAGGAAATTCTCATAAGTTTCAGTACCCTCTTGATTGTTGATTTTCCCCCAGCAATGAGATATTTTCCTTAGTTGATAATCATTCAAATAAAATACACTTTTAAAAGTACTATATGGTCATAGCTTTAATGAATGTATTACAGAACATAAGACAAAAAAATTGGTATAGATAGGGAAGAAAATTGTTCTACCATCAAATGTATGTTGTTTGACTATCACATTTCAGCTTAGCCTTTGTGAAATAGAATAGCAAGTAATTCTTAATGATATGCAGCTATCTGTTAAGTGTTATCAGTAAATATAAATCATTATGGAAAATGTTACTTTGTTCTGAATTGAAAAAGCTCGGATTAGCTTTTTAACTGCAGGCAGTTAATTCAGAAGAGAGTGAGTAATTTTGATTCAGTTTTCCCACTTATCTCCCCTGGTTTAATTTCAATAATTTAAAAGAAGAGGTATATAAATAATTTTTACATGTATTTATTTAAGTACATTAATTATCAAAAGAAAGATATCAATGGCTCTTCAATTTTTCAGGGATTTTTTCCAGACTTCAGACAACAGTTCCAAGAACTTTTTCTCCATCACAATCCTTGCATCAAGTGGCAGGTCCTGTGTGGAACCTGGGTCGACTCAATCATGTAGCAATAGCAGTGCCAGACCTGGAAAAGGCCATGGCATTTTATAAGAACGTTCTGGGGGCCCAAGTAAGTGAGGCAGTCCCTCTTCCTGAACATGGAGTATCTGTTGTTTTTGTCAACCTGGGAAATACCAAGTTGGAACTCCTTCATCCACTGGGAAAGGACAGTCCGATTGCAGGTTTCCTGCAGAGAAACAAGGCTGGAGGGATGCATCATGTCTGCATTGAGGTATTTTACTTATTTAATACTTGGTGTTTTAAATTTCTGTTTTACAAACTGTCTTTTCCTTTTTAAGACTATATTGTCAGTGTCATCAGAAACTCAGTGAATTATTTAAGGAGAAGGATAATATGGGCCTACTCAAAGGTAGATCCAGAGATAAATTCTCTTTCCCTCTAGAAAACTGCAAATAATAATGATATATTTTATAAAAATCTGGATTGAACAGCCATTATAGAGGCCACTGAAGTTGACCAAAACAGATTCGACACTGTAGCATTTATTGATCATATGTGGCCTCCCAGGTAACAAGAATACAACTGGTTTTACTATCACAAGGCAATTAGGAGAAGCAAGTGGAAAGACTATAAAGTAAGAATTGCCATACATATGCTAAGTGTTCTTATAATTGTTTTCTATTCTTAAGAGTCTAATAATTTCCTTATTACAAAAGCAATACATTTTCAATTACTATTATTTTAAGATCTCAGTTGCATCTGCTAACAGTTTCTGAAAAAACATGAACTGTTAGACAAGAACTTTCTCATTAGAGAGCCTTTATCTGTTCAGATAACTGCCTTTTAGAATATCAGCAATGCCAATTATGCTTCAATTTAAATTATTTTGCTAAGATAACTCTTGATAGAAGGAATGACATAATTAATACCTAGGCTTCATTCCTAATTCAGAAGAGAAGGGAGTTGATTCTAGAGTGCATTTGATGATTTACTCAGTTCCTATTGCAAACATGGAGAACCTACAATGTATACTCTACTTAGTACTTAGATTCAGACATGAATAAGACATGGGCCATGCCCACAGCGAGGAAAGGCGGCTGTTTAAATAGGAATCGCAGTGTACTATGATGAGCAGAATTAATATACATGTCTCCTCAGCACCAGTGAGGGACAATTGATTGCTTCTGGCAGGCTGAGGAGGTGGGAAGGCATCACAAGGCATGAGTTAGCATGAATGAGGAATTCCAGGTAGACAAAAGGAGGACAATATTCTTGGAAGAGGGAATAGCACTTGGAAAGGATAGAGTTGTCATAACAACTAGCATTGAGTCATCTGTCAGTATTCGAAATACTTGGTGTGTACTATTTTCTTTAATTTTTCATAGCTGCCCTATTAGACAGGTGAGGAAACTGAGACTTGGAGTAGTTAACTTGCCCATAGTCACATTAGTAGCAAGTGGCAAGGTTGGGAGTTCATACCCAGATTTCCTTTGATGCCAGGGTCTGCACTGTTAGCCATGGTGCCAGAATGCCTTCATTGTATTAGCTGAGTAAAATTTGAGATGGGGTAGCCATAAGATGTTAGGCCAGGGAGCGAGACAAAGCAAATATTTAACCATTATCCCTTTGTTAGGAAGTTAATTTTGGCTGCAAGTCTTTATTTCAGTGGACTTGAGGTTTTGTCTAAGACCCCCCCAGGATAAGGAGCAGGATCATCAACCTTTGAATCCACTCTTCCTTTTCCACACTACACTATCTGTGTCCTACATCAGAGAGCGCATGCCTTCAAAGGAAGCCACTATGTGAGTTAGAAGTTCAGTTGAGTAGAATAGTAGAAGTTCAGTAATGTGACAGCAAGTTCAAAAGTAGAGATTAAAAGGAGGGATTGAAAATGTGTATCAGTATAAAATGAAGATAGGTGGAAGTGGTTCTTTAGTTGCTACATTAGTATGACATCCCCCATCATTATTCTCTGCTCACCAGAAAAAATAAAGTGGGTTAACGAAGTAGGTAGATGATTTTACTTTCCTGTTCGTAGTCTAAAACTGAGCTGTCCCAGGCTGATAAGGCAGCTCCACCATCTATTAACTCATGACTTACAGGGTTTCTCCAGGCATCACCATTTACCAGACAGAGGGAGAGAAAGCAGAGAGAATGAATACAGCACAAGTGCCTTTCAGGAGAAGATCCAGAAATTACACATATCACTCCTGTTTGTGCCCCGTTGGCCTCAGCGTAGTCACATGGTACACTTGGTTGCAGGTGTAGTCTGTAGCAGGCAGTTTTGTACTCTGCTAAAACGTGGGGGTTGCTGTAATTGAAGAAAAGGAGAACGGGTACTAGAAGCCCCCAATCAGGACTGCACTTGGTAGTGCTGAAGAAGTGGTACTGCCAGGGAAGCGTGATACTTCTTCTGAATGAAGATACGCTGTGAGGTGGAAACAGAATTAGTGTCTTCCGCTGCAGCAGTCTGTGGGATGAAGTCACCAGTATAGGGGTTTGGTTCGCTGACTCAGTCGATAGAGCACAATTCCTTGCCTGTCTTTGAACAGAAAATACATTTTTGTTGAATGAAGCCACTGAGATTTCAAGGTTAATTATTTCACCACAGAACGTTTGAGAATATTCTGGCTAATACAACTTGGGTCTGAAACTGCATTCCACTAAAAGTACAAAAAATGATAGACTTAGGTAGAAAACATTTCTATGGCCATTCAGTTACTGCTTCTGGGTAATAATTATCCCAAAACTTAAGGTGTGAAACAACAGCTATTTCATTTTGCTCAGGATTATGTGGGGTGGCAGTTGGGGATGGGGGGTCTCTGCTGAGCACGTCTCACTTGGGATCCCCCATGTGCCTGCAGACAAATATTGACTGGGATTACAGTCATGTGAAAGCTCAACTGGGTTGGGTGTTGCATGTGCCTCCCTCGTAGGCTGGCAGTTGCTTCTAGCTGGCAGCTGGGCACTCAGTGAGGCCTTTTAGTAGGAGCACCTACGTATGTGCAACCTATTCAGCTTGACAAGCTGAGACTAGTTCTAAGGCTAGTTAGACTTACTGGTTAGTTGGCCCCCAGAGGGAGTTTCCCGAGAGAGCTAGGTGGGACCATGTAGCCATTCCTGTGCTAACCTCAGAAGTCCCACCGCAGTCTGTTGGTCATAAACAAGTCTTTAAGGTAGACCAGATGTGGGGAGAAGGGACATAGATCTTGCTCTTGATGGGAGGAGGAGAAAAGAATCTGTGGATGTGTTTTCAAGGCACTATAGCCATCAATACATTGATGTGTTCTAAGCAAAAGGAAAATGTGAAACTTCTGAAAGCTATAGGATGATTTTATTCTCAAATAGCCAGAAGTGGGAACCAGCAGTATTTTCATATGCATGAGGAAGCCACCTAACTACCCTTTGAAAATATAAGGCAACTCAAGAGATGGGAACTTGATGAGGTAGAAGGTGGTAAATATCACATACACAAAAACCAGTTACTTCAACTTTGTCTATCTGTTTTGGGGATAGGCACCATTCAGACATGTCTCTTCTGGAAATGTTCACAATCTTCTGTAGCTTTATATGGTTCATTGTCATTTATTTTGAAATGTTCTTCCTCTAAAATGTTAAATCTACACATCAGACTTTCTTCTCTGATTATCACGAGGATACTTTGTTCTTTTTCCCTGGGGCCTCATATAAACCTCTGGTTTAGCAGTGTATCTATAGTGGGTATGTACCATAGCTTTTACTTGACTCAGAAATTTAGACATGTCCTCTGTTCCCATCATGGATCAGTGTTACACCAGTCATCAGCGTTGTTCCATTGACTTGTCGTTTCCTCATTCTCTTGTGAGGTTTGCTTTCACTAGAGGACAGTCAGCAGTCATCTTGGCCAGACTCTGCCCTTGCTTGCCTAGGGACCAAGTGGCCTGCTACTGTCTGGCACAGCATGTAGTGATGCTACTGATGCATTTCCTGCCTTCTGCAGGTCTCTCCCTGAGATGCTTCTGGTACTGAGTGGAACCATGCTTTCATTAATGACTTATCCAGAAGCAGTATATGTCACAGTGAAAACCTAAGGGATACTAAAAATATTTTCTTATTCAACAGATTTGTATTGAGGTTGCAAAAGTATTTTAATGCTTCCATGCTGTTTAGTAAACAGCTGTTGCTCGAAATCTCCTGAGTAACATCCCCCTTCCAAAGGACCCATCCTTGAACCCCCAAGCTCCTCACACACAGGCACAATTCAGCAATTAAAGGGCTAACACTTTCAGCAGGAGTCTTCAAGGTCTCTTCTGCTTCTGGATAAGGTCCCTTCTATTCTATTTCGGGGGTGTCCTAGTCTATCGTATGCTTCTGGTTTCAGTATTATATTTTAGTATCGCTGACCTTCTCTGCATTAGGTGCTGGGGTATGTAGCTGAACAAAACCACACAAAGTCCTTGCCCTCCTGTGGTTGCTGCTTGCTTCACTTCTTCATTCATGCCCTGCATATTCCACAGAGGATTAGAGGAGACTGAGCAGAACACAGCCTATAAGATACAAAAGGATAAACATAAGTAATACAGCAAGTTAGAACAAAGAGGAAATGTAAGATAAAATAAAACTGAAGGTAACCTTTAAGTAACATTACCTTTAAGATTTCCCTATTTCTTAACTAAATATTGCTTTGTCAGTTGTCAAAAGGGAATATAAGCAATATTAAAATAATTAGGGCCTGTTCCTCCTTGTTTCCATTCCCTTCCTGAACAGTTGGATCCTGAAGATCTTAGGAAGGATAGAGCAAGATGGTTGTCCATGTTTGTGGGGAGAGCTGGAGTGGCCCAAGGCAGGGTGTTGGGGCCGGAGTGGGGAGAGGAGGCATCTACAAGTGGGAGCTGCATGCCAGGGAGAAGCCAGAGACTGAGGGGTGCATGCCTGTGCATGGGGCTTAGGGCCTGGCGCCAGTCAGCCTGAGCAGGTGGGGTGGGGCTGCAGATGGGGGTATCTGAGAGGGGCATCAGCCTGGGAGGCTGGCCAGTCTGGGAAGTTGGAGCCCACACATGTTGAGGGGGCATCCATGTGGGGGGCAGAATGGAGTGTAAGAGCCTGACTAGGATGAAGTGAGGGAGGCATCAGTACCGCGCGTGTGTGTGTGTGGTGTGTGTGTGTGTGTCTGTGTGTGTGTGTCCCTCCCAGCATGGAGAGTCGGGGCCTGAGTCCTGTGAGGAGTACCTCAGAGCAGGGGGAGATAACTCACTTCGGGGAGTGGAAGTATGGTGGGATTATGGATGTCCTCACTTGGGGTTTGCTCATATGGGGAGCAAGGCCTGAGCAGGGGGAGGCAGATGTCCACATGGGGTGGTGGGAGCTCATTTAGGGAATTGGAGTCTGAACAGGGTGGGGAGGGTATGTTGGGACCCAAGCTGGGTGAGGAGGCCTCCATGCAGGAGACCCAGTGTCCTGGCATAATGAGTGAGAGCTCAGATGGAAAGAGTGGGGGGCCGAGGAGGGGAGGGGGAGAGAAGGGGGTTGGAAAGTGCATTGCTAAGGGAGAGGCAGTGGAAGGTTAGGGACTGGTTTCTTTGAGGCGGTTTAACCAGATTATCAAGTATAGTGACAATCATGGAAGTGGGCTTCCCAGCGTCAGAGAAGGGCATTACCAGTACAGAGAGGATATTGGATTTCATCTAGAGGTCATCCTGACAGTCCCAAGCTGATGGGGAAATGCACATGATAGAAATGTTTATTTAAAGATAAGATTTGAAAAAGTGTAAAGAAATGCAGCAGTTGTAACAACTTTATTTTCTGAATAGTCAGAATAGATGACTATTTTTAGTTTAGAATTGATGACTTATTTTCTTGTTTATGCTTTTAGGTGTTTTCAGATCTTTTTTCTTTGTCTATATAGTCCTTATGAAAGAAAAATCATATGACTAAGGTAAAAATCTAGTGAGGTAATTTATTTTCGGCATAATGGGGAATATCTGTTCTTAAAAAGGGAGAAAATGCCACTTTTTAAAGAAAAAAAATTCCTTTCTTTTTTTTTGACTTTACAATAACCTAGGAAGTTGCTACATTCTACAAGTGATCTTTGTATCACCAGTGCCTAGATGTGGCTGTTTCATACAGTGGTAGCATCTCCAGAGAACAGAACAAAACCACAAAAGTGGGCAGTTTGATGAGGTTTTAAACTTGCTGTGTTAAGTAAGGAAAAAATTTAAATGTCCATGACTACTAAAATAATTTTGTAAAAGAAAGGACATTTTATTATCAAGAAAAAGTAAAGATTAAAAAGAAAAAGTCCTCTTGCAATAAAAGAGTCCTGTCAATTAAACAAATATAGTTTGGTTTTTTTTAAATGTTTTACTATCAACTGGTAAGAATTCAGTGACATGCAGCATTTGGGAAACCTTTTCATAGCCACCAGCAGACTATATAGCAAAAATGGAAGCTTAAATTAAGTAATGTATGCTCTTATGAAATAATTCCCAATAATACAAAGGAGTATAAAAGCGGATTTTTTAGATGGGTTATTAGTGACTGTTACTTTTATTACTTAGGAGGACAAACTTAATTTCCTAAATCAAATTGCTTCACATTTATTAAGCATTTCTTATATCCTTTAAGTGATAATGTATCTACTTTCAATTCAGAAAATAAGACATTCTTATTTCATTCTTTTTATTATTGCCAAACAAAACATTAAGAGTACTCTTAAAGAATTATGAATTTTATAGCAATACTCTCAACAGGAGGATGAATATGGTACAAGATCTTTAAAATCAAACTCAGTGATAGAAATGGTAATCAATAGAAATACATGCTTGTACAATGTCATTTAGACATTTTTCAAAAATAGATCTAATTTATTAAATCTTAGAAGCATTTCCTAGATTAAGGGATACTGAAGAAGTAACACACTAAAAATTGAGGTGCAATATCAAATTGTAGATATTTGTGCTTTGGTAGAATGTTCTGCAATAAAAATATCCATGGTCATTTAGAGTAGAAGTTATCAAAGGGCACTATGAAAAAATCATGATTCTATTTGGAAAATTTTCAAAAATAAAAAGTTGAAAAAAATTACATAATGAATTCCCGCATTCCCATACCCAGATTCAACAATTTTCAAGATTTTGCCACGCTCGCTTTATCTTTTTCCCTTTGTTAAACTATTTAAAAGTAATTCTAAGCACAATGACATTATTATGTTTACCAAAATTAAAAGTCTTCTGTCTCCATAATCTATACACAGTCCATAAATCAAATTTACCATTGATTCACAAATGTCTATAGTTCATTTGTTCTAATCAGGACACAAACAAGGTCCACTTATTACAATGGTTGTTCATCTCTTTAGGCTCTTTAAAAAAAATTAACATCTTATTAGTACAGTACATTTGTCACAGTTAGTGAAACCAAATTGATATATTACTATTAACTAAAATCTATACTTCATTCAGATTCCCTTAGTTTTTACTCAATGTCCTTTTTCTGTTCCAGGGTCCCATCTAGGATACCACTCAAGTTATCGTGTCTCCTTAGGCCTTTTTCCCTATGACAGGTTTTCAGACTTACCTTGCTTTTGATGATCTTTATATTTTTTGAGGATTACCAGTCAGTTACTTTGTGGAATGTTCCTTAACTGAGATTTGTCTTATGTTTTTCTCACAGTTAGACTAGGGATGTTAATTTCTGGTAGGAAGACCACAGAGCTAAAATGCCATCCTCATCATATACGAAGGGTACATATAGTTAACATGACTTATTGCTGGGGTGTTGCACCCCGATCCCCTAGCTAAGAAAGTGTTATCATGTTTCTCCACTGTGAAGTTACTCTTTTTTTTCTACTTCTCCTTGATAACTCCTTCTACTTGATAATTCCATGATTTATTTGGAATTTTTCTGTAAAAGATTTATCTCTTCTTTCCTATTTATTTATTTGATCATTTATTATTCAGTCATTTATTTATATCACTATGGACCTGTAAATATTTATTTTATACCTTGGGCTATAATCCTGTACTACTTTGTTTTATTCAAATTGTTCCGGCTTTACCTACCAATAGGGTACTTTTGGTTAGCTCCTGTATCCCCTTGGCTGCATTTAACATACCCCAACTTTTTTTTTTCTCCCACACTTTCTTACTTTCTGGCCCTGCAAGATGCTCCAGACTCATCATTTATATTCCCTGCCCCAGCCAAGAAATAGCCATTTCTTTAAGGAGCCCTGGTTCCTTTTACTAGAGAGTGGAATTAGAAACCAAGATCCATGCTCTAGCTGTGTTTGATGCTACTGGGATGTCATTGCTTCTAGGCTTTCTCAGCTAACAACAAGGACATGGATGTATGTATATTATGTATATACATGTATCTATAAATATTTCTATACGTAACCATATAGAACTCATAAAATGTCTATATGACATACTTATGAACTAATGTGTCCATATTGATAGCTCTTATTACTCTAATCCAACCACATGAACCACTCTAGCCTTCTCCCTTGCTTGTCTATAACTCCCCATTACAACAGTGAGAAACATGGCTTCCACCACCTGCCATCCACTTAATTGTCTGATTTTGGTGTAGATGTATAGTGGTTGTATTAGTTTCCTGGGCTGCCATAATAAATTAATACAAACTTGGTGGCTCAAAACAACAGAAATTTATCTTCTTACAGTTCTAGAGGCCTAGAGTGTGTTTAGTAGAGTGTGTTTGGAGTTCCAAAAAGAGAGGAGAGAGAAAACAGACTATAGCAGTTACTGAAATTGTCAACAGTATTACCACTCTAAGGTAAGATATCAATCCAAGAGATTCAAGAAGCTCAGCAACTCCAAGTAGGAAAATTTAAAATCAAACTGTAAGCACACCATAGTCAAGCTGAAAACCAAAGATGAAGAGACAACCTTACAGGCAATCAGAGAAAAATAAAAAGACAATAAAAATTAAGAAATGACAGTATGTAATGACTTTAAGTTCTGACAAAAAAACCCCACCAATTTAGCATTCTAAATCCGTCCAAGGTGGTGTAACAGAAAGCAGATCCTTTTGCTTCCAACAAACGAACAAAAATTCTAGAGAAAATATATGGAACAATGATTTTTCTGGCATTAGATATCAAGCAGCACAACATACATGAATAGGCAGAGAACAGAGGATCTACAGAGCAGTGAAAATACTCTGTATAATGCCAATGATGGATAATATCATTATACCTTCATCCAAACCCATAGAATGTAAAAGAGTCATCCCTAAGTTAAATTGTGCACTTTGGGTGGTAAAGCTGTGTTACTATAGGTTCATCAGTTGTAACAAGTGTACAATTCTGGTGAGGTGATTTGATAATGATAGAAGCTATTCAGGTGTGGAGATAGATGTTACATGGGAAATCTGTACCTTTCTGTCACTTTTGCTCTGAACCTAAAACTGTTCTAATACATAGTCTCAAAAACTCTCTCATCCTGGAATTCTAAACTTCATGAAAATATCCTTCAAAAAATGAAAGTGAAATGAAAACACTTAAAATTACACAAAAATTAGAGTATTT